AGGATGGGTTTTACCCAAGGAAAAAAAAAAGAAAATGCTCCCGCTGATGCATATAATCTTAATCTTTCCACTATGAACATTGAGCACCGTTGTGACATTCAAGTTTCTTCCTAGACTAATAAAGCGAGAAAATTATAACTAAAAAGTGAATTTTTTAAAGAAAAATAATTCTATAGAAGGTGCCCACCCTATAGTGTAGTTGTTACAACGTCAAAAAGCCCTATAATTAATATGCACGGTTTCTATGGGGTCAGTATTTGTAGAAATGAGAGCTTGGCAATAAATATATTTTTTAAATATAATTTGATTATAATTTTTAAAAAATATATAATGTTTAACATGGAGATCATAATATGAAAAAAAGATTTAAAACTAGAAATAATAACTATATTAAGAAAACATTTGGAACATTAGTTACACTTCTTTTTAGACGGACCACCTAGTTGCATCCATCTTTAAGATGAATGCTTTGCACATCTGAACCGCGTATTGTAGAAATGCGGTCCAACCCGTATGAAACAATATTTTTCATAATTAGTTATCTTAACCTTGAGATGTATAGATCATTATCATCATAACTATTTTCCAATTAATTGAGGTTGGCTATATAAATCTCGGTGTGTCATTCTGCTATGTTAAAGTTATATTCTTAGTGAAGCCATAAGTCAATATATATTTTCTCACTACTTCCGATCACGTCCTTTTAGCCCTATCTCTTACACATTTTGCCTTTTACTTGAACTAATTCGTATCTACTAATAGGTGTTTTACTGGGTTTGCGCTATACATGTCCAGCCCAACTAAGTTTACTCTCTCTCATCATATCTCATATTGGAGTCACACCTAAGTTTTTTCTAATGGGTTCATTTCGAATTATATCCCTTCTTGTCTTGCTACTCATCTATCTCAACATCTTCATCTCCATTACACTCATTCTATGAGTATATTGCTTTTTAACCACCCAATATTCTGCCCTATAGAGCAAAGTTGGTCTCATAGTTGTCCTATAGAACTTGACTTTCAGCTTCATTGGTATGCGATGATAACATAAAATTCTAGCTGCATATTTTTATTTCGCCCACCCAGTTCTAATTATGTGTGTGACATCTTTCTCAATCTCTTCATTTTCCTTGATTATTGACCCAAGATATCAAAAGTGTAGTCTTTTTGGTATTCCTGGTCGCTCATTAATTATTTCCTTGTCTGTACTCATATTATTACTAAACTTACATTCCATATACTCTGACTTAGTCCGACTAATTTTAAAATGTTTAGATTCTAAAGCATCCACCCAAAGTTCTAACTTTTTATTGACGTCGTTTTGGGTCTCATCGATCAAAACTATGTCATATGCAAACAACACAGACTATAGTACCTCATTTTGTAGGTGTCTAGTTAAGTCGTCCATAACTAAGACAAATATGTATGGGCTCAATGTTGATTCATGATGTAGACCTATTGTAATTGAAAACTCACTCGTCTCTCTACTAGTTAGAGCTCCATCGTACATATCTCTCACTAAACACCAAATTGATGTAGTGTACGGAGACTCTTTTTTTTTCCAACACCCACCAAAACAAATCTTGAGGTACTTTATCATAAGCTTTCTCTATATCAATAAAGACCAATTGGCGGTCGTTTCCCTTGGACCTAAACTTCTCAATCAGTTGTTTAAGTAGAAAAATTACCATGGTTGTTGACCTCCCTAGCATAAAACTAAATTGGTTTTTAGATACGCTCATTCCATGCTTTAATCGTTGCTCAATCACTCTTTTCCAAAACAATAGTGCATTATACATTATCTAAACCATAAATTTTCCAAAAAAAATTGAAGCGTTTATAGATATGCTCAATCTACACTACTTCTTGAGCTCTAAATTTCATAATCACGTGTGAACATATATTTTTAAGGCTATCAAAAGAGTTTTTGAAGCTAGATATGCATCTTGTAGCCCGATTTAGATGTGCAACCCTACTTTGATTTTTTAACAACCTCATACCGGCCTCACCCATGTTTAAAAATCTAAAACATTTCAAACAGGTGCATCTTCGCAGTTTGGGTCCTTAAGGGCAACATTTTTCCCCTAACTTCACGAACATATCCGCTGAGCCCCCAATGAAGAAGCCTATGAAGATAAAATTAGAGAAAATGGAGACGGTTTTTGTTTAAAACTCAATAAGCACAGGCTTCATAAGATCTAGGTTTTCATTTAAAATTAGTTTTTCTTTAAATTGTTCATCTAACAATGATGAAGCATTGTATAATATTTGGGGTTGAAAATCCACATGGGTCTCAATCTAACACCAATTTTACTTTCCTAAAAGATTTCTATAAGGTTGCAACCTTAAACAATCCGATTAAGGTCCACCTCCAAAGTTTATCATAAGGTGTAATTTTGATGTAATAAATTCTAGGATTAACTGAAAATCTATTTTTATATCTAATTATAAAAAATTAAACTCCAAAAATAGCTAAAATCAAGTAGATCTATAAATATATGAAAATTTTGAAAATAGATGGTCTAGATAATGTTTTCCAAGATGCACTATTTTTTAGACTTAAAATCTTTTTTCTTTTTTTTCATATTCATACATCTCGATATCGAGATGATTAATTAGAGAGTTTTTAAATATTAAAAAATTTCTAATAGATTTTTGAGGTGCATGTGTAATTCTACATTTTAAAGTTGCATGCTTATATAAACTTTTTCCTTCTTAAAATGAACGGTTAGTTTCACTGTATTTTCTCTCCTCAAAAAAATTACTTTTTTTTTTTAGAAAACGTTTTTCTACGATTTTGTTTGTTAAGACGAAGAACATGTGTGTGCCCAATTTGGAGCAAAACAAGTCCCCTACATCATTAAATGATAGAACAGATTAAATGCTAATTTCAAATCTTCTAAATTCTTTCTTTCTCTCTCTCTTTCTTTATTTTTCCTCTCTCTATACTCTCATCTATGGAATCCTTTTACTTACTTAAAAGGGTTTACTTTTTTTTTTTATTCACCCCGAAAAGGAATGGTTTGTATAAAGTTGAGTTCCTAACTAATCAAAGTAAGGTGGAGCTTCAAATACTGCCAAAACATATTGTTTTAGTATCAAAACTTTTTGTCACGGCCTGAAAATTTATTTTCATCTCGAATTATAAAATTTAATAATTTAAAAATAGTGTTGATCGAGCAGATCTATGAACACTTGAAATCCTGAAAATTGACTGTATAAATAATACATTATAAGATTCACTATTTCAAAGACTTCAAATCTATTTTTTTTCTCATGTTCATACATCTTGAGGTCCAGATGATCGAATTGATGGTGTTTCAATATCGAAACAACCTCTTCTAGTGAATTTTTGATGTGCACCTTAATTTAATAGTTTAGGGCTTCACCTTTATATAAACTTTTTCTTTACCTAAAATCTCTTTAATAATTTGTATATAAAATGATAAAGTAGAAAAACAAATCCTTCTCTCAAAAATCTCTTTTATGTTTTATCCAATTTTTATTTTATTTATTATGAATGTTTTAATTTAAAAACAATGGATTGCAGACTTTGATACCAGTTTTTGCTGGCACACAAAGGTCACAATTATTTTTAGTCATTGTATGTGATTTTCAATAGATTAAAACACATCACAACATTCGAGAAATTTGATAAAAAAGACTCAAGAATCGAAAACGAAAGGCAGACTGATTTTTTTGGGCCAGAGAAACTAAAAAAAAACCTAAACCAAGATTGATTGTGCGATTTTTTTTTATCCATATAGAGTTTCATGAGCAACAAATGATTCTCCCATTCAATTATTTCTTTGAAATAATTGATTATTTCCGTAAAAGGTGAGGTTTGTATGAGGTGCTTACCTTATACTATACAAGTAAGGTGCACCTCTAAATTTCACCGATGATGGCTTGAAAATCTATGTCAAATCCAAATTATTAAATTTCAAATTTAAAAAACAATACAAATTGAGCAAATCTATAAACACTTTAAAATCTTGAAAGTAGACGAGTTTGATAACTTGTTCTTAAAATACACTATTTTTTTAATTTGAAATTAGTTTTTTTCTTTATATCCATGCACATTAAGGTTGAGATGATCAATTGAAGGTTTTCTAGCTTCAAAATACTCTTTTCTATTGGATTTCTGAAGGCTCTTTTACTTCTATGGCATAAGGTTGCAACTTTGTATAAACTTTTCCCTTTTGTAAAAGGCTGAAAAAAAGGCTAAAAGGTTTCACTTGTGAAGATGTACAGGTAAGGCGTGCACCCTATTCGTTGTGGGTCGGTCAAGTTTGAGTCTACTCGATCGAGTCTTCTAGCGCTGAACGAGACCATAAAATTAAAAAAAATAAAATAAAAAATTAAACAGCTACAAGAATAAAATCCAAATGAATAAAAGAAAAAAAAAAAAAGAAGAAGATAAACTGTATATAAGATTGCAATTTTAACATGTAAAATTAAAATGTACTTAAAAAATCCCTCATAAAAAGAAGTTTTGAAGTTGGAAGACCCTCTAATCGATTATCGCGACATCATATGAATATGGAAAGAAGAAGACAACCTTACGCTGACGACACCTTTCAAGGAAAAATTATTTTTCATTGATACACGTGTAATCCGTGTACACGTGTCAAATCACAATTATTTTTTTTATAAATATACATTCGTCGGTCAATCAGTTCATGAAAGGTAATTCATTGGACCGACACCGATTGCCACGTGGCATATCGCGGATCCCCCGTTTCGAGCTTACGTGAGTGGAAGGACAGGTGGCGGGGTACGCTTTGCTTTTCATAGTGGTCGAATTTTCATTTTTTATTTTCACTATTATATTTTTATAATGTAATTCATTTATTTATTATTTTTTCCTTTCTAAACGTAAAAAGGCAATTTGGTCATTAATGCACCCAATGGAGACAGTGGCAGTTTGGTCTTTCCAGGTCAGCACAAATCCTCATTCCTCATATAACTGTGGCTCAACTAATACACAGAGAGTGCTAGTGGTTAAATATCTTCTTTTTTTTTCACATGAAAAAATAAAAGAAAATTCAAATTCCACTGAAAACTAGAATGATCTAGAGCTACTGGGAAAAAAATGCTAAAAAAGAAAAGAGAAAGGAAATGAATATGCAATGTCATGCGAGTTTCCTCCTTTGATTCTGTTAACTGATTATTTTTTCCTATAAATATACATATCCCCCTCATGTTTTCCTCCATGTTTCAACACAATCTTTGCTATACTATTTTCCTTATCTTACCCATTCTTTGAATTCCATTTGTTGCTAATTTTCTTGCGTCAAAAGCTCTTCTGCACAACCACCTTTGAGTATTCTTCTCTCACTAGTTATACCTGTATCAGACCAATTTGCACATTATTTGACTAGTTTTACTTCCTGGTCTTCTTCTCTAAATCTCTCCTTACAATTCTGTGACTTAAATCTACAGGGTCCTTTTGTTCTCTCACCAACTTGTATCAGGCTCTTTGTTGCAGTCTGCAACTCACTACTGCTATTGCTCTTCTTTCTCAGTAATTTGTAGAAACCTACTTATCCACAAAATTTGTACAAACCTTTAGTCTCAGTCTCAGAGCCCTTTATTTTAGCAGGGCTTTTCTCTTACTAACTTGTATCAATCCTTTTGTTTTCATTTTGTTGCTACTGTTCTTCTCACTAAACTTCGTAAGTCACTTCTCCCAGTTTTCACCATGGCTCCGAATCCAATCTCTAATAATTCCAACAATACACCCATAGTCTCAAATACCCATTTTTCGCTCTCGAATGGGTCTCTCTGTTTCAATGGAGTTACTCTGTTATCAGAGGTCCCTGATAGCGTCACTCTAAGAAGTTTCTTCTCTGTTTGCACCCCTCTCTCTAAAGACACCCCAGTCTCGCTTCTCGAGTCAGTTGAGTCCAAGGCTCACTGTGGAGCTTTCTTAGGGTTCGAAGCCTCTGAAACCTCTGATACATTTACAAATCCCTTGGGAAAGTTCATAAATAGGAGGTTCTTGAGCATATTCAGATTCAAAACATGGTGGTCCACTATGTGGATTGGTAACAATGGATCGGATTTGCAAAAAGAAACCCAATTAGTCCTTTTCGAGATCCCTGAGAGAAAGCGCTATTGTCTGGTTTTGCCTCTGATAGAGGAAAATTTCAGATTTTCCCTTCAACCAGGCCATGAAGGAAAAGTCGTTCTTTGGGGTGAGAGTGGATCCACCATGGTTCAGACTTCGAGCTTTATGGCCTGTGTTTATCTCCACATAGGTATAAACCCATTCGATCTCATGAGAGAGGCTTTCTCAGCCATGAGAGTCCATCTTGGTAGTTTCAAATTGTTGAGTGAGAAAAAGCTCCCAAATATAATTGATCGATTCGGTTGGTGTACTTGGGATGCTTTCTATCTCACAGTCGAACCAGTAGGGGTATGGCATGGAGTAAAAGAGTTTTTTGATGGAGGCCTCCCCCTGAGATTTCTCATTATTGATGATGGGTGGCAAAGTGTGAACACTGATAAAGATAACCCACTGAAAGATGCTGAAAATTTAGTCTTGTTAGGTTCTCAAATGCAGTGTAGGCTTTATAGACTCAAGGAAAATGATAAGTTTGGAAAGTATAAAAAGGGCAATATGTTAAGGCCTGATGCCCCAGCATTTGATGAGAAGAGAATGAAGGAAAAGATAGAGGAGGCAATTGAGATGGAGAAAGAGAGGAAGAGGAAAGAGAAGTGGGGTGATTGGGCATGGATATGGAAATTAGGAAGGCGTAGAGAGAAGAAAGAATTAAGCAGTGGAGAGGTTATGAATGGCTTAGAGGGAGAGGAAGAGAAGGGAGAGGGTGGAGATGGTGAAGAGAGAGAAGGGGAGATAGGTTTGAAAGCTTTTCTTGAGGATTTAAGAGAGAGATATACGGAGATAGATGATGTCTATGTTTGGCATGCACTATGTGGAGCTTGGGGTGGAGTTAGACCAGGAACTACACATTTGAAATCAGAGATAACACCAGCTGTTGTTTCTCCAGGATTAGATGAAACCATGCACGATCTTGCAGTGGTTAAGGTCGTTGAAGGCGGGATAGGGCTCGTCGATCCTAGCCATGCTGAAGATTTCTATGATTCAATGCACTCTTATCTCTCTAAATCGGGCATCACAGGCGTTAAGGTGGATGTAATCCATGTATGTCTCTCGCTAATCCTTTTCCATGTACTTAAGGTTTTGTTGTAATTAAGTTATGCTATTAAGGTACTTTAGTTATTGTAATATTCTCTCTCTCTCTCTCTCTCTCTCTCTCTCTACTACTACTACTTACGTTACGTTACGTTACGTTACGTTACGTTACGTTACGTTACGTTACGTTTACGGTTTACGGTTTAACGGTTT